CCTGGGCCTCCCGTTAGATGACATCGACGACAACACTGATAACCCTCACCATCCCAACGGGGACTGATAATCGTTACAACAACAACAACAACAACATTAATTATCAATTACTGTAAGTGCTTACAATATAAAAGGTAGTTTATTATAATATTATACTTACATGCATTTGTTATTTAATACCGATTATAATATCATACTCATACATCTTGGAAGAATTAAAGAAAGGGAAGTGTATAACTTACCCGGAAGTACGAAAATCTCTATATAAGGTATATGGAGACTAAGGGAAATATTGACCCGATTCAGCCCATTTATAACATACAGACATACAACTATCAGGAAAGGATTCTCTCTGAATTTCAATTATTTATGACGCTCGTTAACTGATATTCTTGCTGATTTGGGGCAAAAATCCAATAATGGCAGTCACTGATGTTCTTGGCGAAATAAGAAATGCGCGGGAGGTTAGGAAGTATGGAAATTCCCAGTATTAAAGATTATACCACATAAGTGGTTAAGATGTTCTATTGATAATCCAAACAGTATAGTAGTTAATGGTACAGTTGCCTAAAGATCGAATGTGAATAAGTCAGATTTGAATTTTGGGGGCACCGGATATTAAAAAAAAGTGGTCCCAATAGCTTTATGTACATATATCAATCAAACTCGCGAAGAAATCGTCTTTCTACCACATTTTTATATCAAAAGGAAGGGTGAAATTGGATTATAACTACTAGCAGAAGCAATTGATTTTACATTACAGATGCTACGGACGGACTTCGAGGGAACCAGTGTAAAAATTGAACAATGGCACCGGTCGCGTTTAGATGAATTGACATACTTCAGTCATTACTCGACCAAATTCAAACTAATTTATGGCGGAACATCTTGATAACTGGTTACGGTTGGAAAGTGTGCGAAATTGGGCATCAACCCATAACACAATTTTAAATTTTGTCTGGTTCTTTCAATGTATATTTTAAATAAAGCGACAATCAATATGCCAGAATAAAACTTTCTACAGATAAGGCATTTGTCGAAAAATACTGAATATGATCTCATGAACCCCAATGTTAATACTGACTTTTTACCGAAAATGTAAATATAAAATATCAAATATATTCATGCTCATATGTATATTTTATATGCGTTGCAATTTACACTTTAATCTGTGGTTATCGCCAAGATAATAAGACAATGTGGAGTTATAGTTTTTTGCTTCATTTATTTCCTTACTTTTGTAAGTTTCTCTTAATTTGGTGTCGGTCTTATAGTGTATTTATTGTAAAATTCTGTTTTCAGCTATTTAAATATTTATCTACAATATGTATCTTTCTGATTTTTTGTCTGCCTTTACCTTAGCGTTGTCCTCTAATTCTACAATATTTTTTTAGAAATGTGTTAAATCAAATAGCATGGCATTTAAAGCGAAAATCAAATAAATATGTAGCGTAAAGAATTTTTAAAAAATTTCCTTTTTAGCCATAAGCTTTCCTTTATGTTTCTGCATTTTTTCTCTTATTCACTATTATAAAAATATAAATATTGCTTTAGTTGTGTAGCACAACCAAAATGTAAAAAGTGAGTGTAAACACTTTAAAGCTTTTTTTCTTGCATATACATGCATATGTACATATGTATATGCTATTTATGCAACCATAGTAAGTGCAACTGTTTCAAACTACAATCAAATCAGGAGTTTTTGTGTAAGGAGGGCTTGGCAACCTGCAACAAATTCTTAGCAGACTCAAAAACAATTAAATAAACGTTTACATATTTTTTAGTTTTTATTTGCTATGTATAGAATACACAGTATTACATAATATTACTAATATATTTTTTGTATTAATGGTTTAGAAATTTTGTTGGTACCAAAGAAACTTATACACATACGTATATAAATACAGATGTATGTATATTTACATATAAATACGCATATCACTGTAGAAAGATATTTAGTTTTTAATTTGTTTTGTTACACATAAAGGCAATTTCAATTGTTCTTTCTAAAGATTAATTTGATTTGTTCACAAATTCAGTTAACTTGACAATACATAATTGTTTCACAATGTTTAGATTTGTTAAAATTACATCAAATTTTATTATATTAAATTAATGCACTAGTTTTTATAAATTGCTTTCCATGTATATAAATACATATTATTTATTATTATTATTTTTTTTTTTAATATCACAACGCATTCTCAATGTTGTTAAACACAATTCTTTTAGTAAGTATCATATTTATAAAAAAAAATTGGAAAATTGTGAAAAAAATTTTCTAGATGAAATAGGTTCAAGAAATAATCGTAAGCGATGGAAATCTTCATAACTTGAAAAAAAAAACAATTAATTTTTTAGTTAGTTTTATAATATAATAATACAATAAATATTTATTTGTTTCTTTTTAATTCAATTTTCATTCCTTACTTCGTATTATGTACGACGGTCGGTTTTTTTAATTAACTTTAAAAATTACTCTAAAGCACTTTTATGTTTGTTTTTGTAAAATTAACAAATAATAAAAAATTGAATAAAAAAGAATAATCTAAAAAAATTACACAATTATATGTTACGACCCTAGTTATACAAAGCAATTGAATTTTAATGAAAAATCTTTTTACATGAAAAATAATATATTTACATACATCTATATGTATATATAGAAATCATACATTAATCTTCTTTATGGCATCCGTAACATGCGCATGCACTGCATTTATTCAATACATACATACTTAAATATTTTAATGTTTGTATAAATATTATTATTATAAGGATTTTTCGTGTCTTTGTTTTTGTCTGTTTAAGGCTGTAAGAATTTTTAGGTCTCACTAATACAATACCACAATACTCATTGAAATTTTGTAAATATTTGACTGGTGTATCTTAACTATGCCATTCTTACTTCTAACCTCATCTATCCGTCGTCTTTTGTACCAGACTCTTGTTCTGTTTCATAACAATTGCCATTTCTATTGTTATAAGCTAACCAATTTCGATGGCTCACTTGTAGGTGTTTGAATTTCTAACGGATGTTTGTTTTGTGTGGAGCAATTTGGCACCAGTGGACCTGAAACAGGAGTCAATCCAGTGCCACCATCCATCAAAGAGTCGAAGTTGAACATGCCTGTCGAGGGGGTTTGTATGGCAACGCCATTGATGTCAGTTGGAGGACGTTCTGTATTTAAAGCGAGATTTTGTGCTTGGTTACGTAAATTTGTAGGTAGAGAGTTAGGGCGCTGTTTACCACCACTCAGTATTGGTCTATGTGGGGCACTCAATGTGCCTGAAATAGTGTTACTAATTGCAATACTATTTACTATGTTATTAATATTACTGTTCGAAATACTGTTGCCGGAAACAAGACTAGAAAAGCTAACCGGTGCCGCCGTCACAATTGGTGTGTTTAAAGATGCGGATGCCGCAGCCAATGAAGCAGATAATGTCGAAACATTCGGCAATGGTGGTTGCACCATCGGATTGTTATCAGATAGTAGCATGCGCTTGGGTGATGGAGGACCATCATGGCCTAGTGATGAATTCGAATCCAGCGTATTGTCTAGAGGTTCATTCTTAATGTGAGACACCATATCCAAAATGACAGGTTTAAGATCGATGGGTGATCCACTTCGCCCTACAGACGACAGTGTGGTATCTACTCCAATAATATTGCTATTACTGTCATTACTATTGCCATTCGTTGGTGCGATCAATCCATCATAGGTGTGCACGCTCAATAAGTCTTGCCTTACCTTTTGGCACGTAGGTCGATGCGCTTCTAAAATAAAAGCCAATTGGTTTTTGGTAACTTTAAGGTTCTCAATTTCTTTTGTTAGTGACTCCCGTATATTTTCCAACCGGTCTACTTCTGTTTGTAGTTCATTAGTTTGATCAACCCGACGCTTTCTACAACGAGCTGCAGCCAATTTGTTACGTTCACGGCGTATGCGTCGTTTTTCCTCCTCTTCGGGAGACATATTAGTCGGTTTAGTAGGGCGGCGACCACCTTGATTACGACGCGTCGGAGTGGCTGTAATTGTCGTGTTTGTGGCACTGCTCGAGGTATGCACTTTACTGCTGTTGGGAGAATTTGTGAGCAATAGATTTCCAGAATGTTTGCCAGTATCTGACCCGATGGCGTTATGTAGCATGGTGAAATCATTTTTTGACGAAGTTGTTGAGGTAGCGAGTGAAGCATTGCTGGTGCCATTGAGTCCATTAGGGAATGAGGCGCTTGCTGAAATACGAAACGAATAAAACTGGTTTATAACAAATAATTTAAATACGCACCTAGGTACGGTACTTTTGTGAATACGCATGTACTTACAATTATCTGTTGTCGCCTGTGAATTATCATCTTGAAGTTGTGAGTTCCAGGACGCTTGTGAATCATCCATATCAATCTCATTGTAATTTTGTATAGCACCGCTGAATATAGGGCTAGGAGAATTCTGAATGGAAGTAACTGGTGGTGGTATAAAACCTGCCTGACAGGGCGGATTTGAGTGATCTGCTGTCAACTGTATGAATGTTTCTTCGATGCTGCGTAATGTAGTCGGTGTTAATGTAGATGTGGTTAACGTGGGTACACCACTTTGAATGCCGTCTACTGACACGAGCTGTAAACATTATAGATATTAATTATTATGCATTAAGTTATTTATGGATGATAATGTATAATTAATAATATCGAGATAATGCTAGCAATTGATAATCCTATTACGTTTTACAATTCTACTACATTTCTGGTTAGGTTTTGACGTTTTTGTCGATAAAAACTAAACCCGCCAAAACAAAATTCAGTTGAAGCTCTACCGAACTTAAATTGCTGACCTCCCCAAATTACATACATATTATATAAATTCAACGACAGACACTTTTAGACTTTTAGTGAAACAGAGTTAATCAAATAATTATTTTGAAAAAATTTGTTCCCTTAATTTCTTAAAAATATCATAAATTTTGATCAAAATAAACAGTTTAATGCCACGTTGAAAGGAAGAAATAACAATATCGGGCATATTGGGGGTAGGTGAAGCATAAATTACATATTGATCGATATATTTTTGGTATATGCTCCGTACATTTGGGGAAGTATTGACCCGATTTTACCTATTTTTGACAGAAGCACACATTATTTTTGGGAAAATATTCTTTCAGAATTATATTGCAGATTTTTACCGATATTTTCTGTGAAAAGTTCATGATCGTTAAAACCTCCTTAACAACTTTTGTTATATATTTTAGTTAAGGTTCTACTATGCCCCTTGAATAGCACATCTAAACAAAATCCTAAAACATTTCAATGAATGGAATATCTGGAGATGTGTTACATTTTTTACAAATAGTGGAAGAATGTGGTATTCGAGTGATGCAGAGTGTGTATCTCTCATAAGCGCATACTACGTAAGTATGTAACTATCTACCTGCTGCATAAAAAGCTCATTAGCTAGAAAATTTGCGATTTCATAAGCATCCATCGAGAATCGACATTCGGCAGCCTTGTTGCCGGAGTCGGTATTCCTATTCACATCATTGATATTACATTCGCCACTATTACCCGGCGCTGAGGGCAAATTGACCGGAAAAGAGGAACAATTGTTAGTAACTGCCTCAGATAGTTGCCGTTGCGGTTTTTCAATCACAATTCTTTCGAACAATTGCTGATTATTTGGCGCATTATTGTCATTACTAGAATTACCACCACTTTGACGGACTCGTTGTCCTTGTGGTTCACATTGTAATTGAAACGGTTGTTGGGACTGCAAGCGTTGCGTGCATTGTTGATGAGTTAAGTGTCTTTGCTGCTGCTGCTGCTGTTGTTGCTCAGTATGATGGTGAGGATGTTGTTGTTGCAACTGCGCAGGCCGATTATTAGCAATTGGTGTTTGTGATGACTGTAACTGGTCCTGCTGAAGTTGATTGGTGTTACTTATTTTATTTAACATATTACTTTTATGGTTAAAACCATGGTTATTGTTTAGGTTATTCTCAATATGCGATAGGTAAGCTGTAGCATGTGTGCTTTGGTGTGATGACGGTATTGAAATTGTTACATTGCTGTTTGTGTTATCATTCATTGCTATGTCAGCTGTGTTGTAATGGTGTTGTTGCGGAGCGGCAGAATTCATTGCATAAGGGGTTCTAGCCAAGTCTTGTTGCTGCTGTAAATGAATATATTTCCGATGTTGTAGAGGTGCTGTTTGTTGGTGATGTTGTTGCGTTGCCGATTGCTGGAACCAAGAATATGAGGAAAATTGCTGCAGTGGTGACATTGTTGGCATTGGCAATTGCTGAGGATCCGGAAAATCGTTTAATTTTTGCTGCCGCTGTTGCTGTTGCTGTTGTCCGAAGCAGAAAATATGCGAACGCTGCTGATGTAATGGATGCACCGAGTTGTTGTGTACATTTTCATACACTGATTGCCGTTGCGCATTAGTACCAGTTGAGTACGGCTGATAATTATATTGCCTCATAAATAAGTTTTATCTTGGACCGTTCGATGAGGAAATTTTGTAGGCGTTTTATTTAAGACTTATTACTCTCTTAACAGTTATAAATTGCCTTTTATTATTTTATTTTAATTATATTATATAGAGGGTGGCATAAATATATAAATGTGATTTCATGATTATCACATTTAAATGTTAAAATATTTTGCATCCATAAGTAAAGAGTGCTTATATTCTTAAATATAATAAACCATTACACTATACCGTTGCGGTGTTAAATATTTAAATTTATAATATTATAGCTTCCTATGACTAATTTTGTGTTTTTTTTTACAGCAAATACATGGTTAATGATCTCTCTCGTCAAGTAATTTAATTTATTTTACTTTTGAACCTTTATAATAGAAGTACTTTTTTTTGGTTTATCTTAAATTATACTATATTTATTATTATTCATTCGTCGAGTTCGAATTTTTCCACTTTTAGTTTGAGTTTCGTATGTTCGATAAATATATATAGCATATACATAGGTATTCTAAAACAGCTTCTTACAGGATCATAAATTGGTCGAGTTTTGTGTAACGATATTTTTCGGTACTACTTTCTCATGTTCAAATGTTTTCGTAATAGTTTATACCGGCACTTTTAAACCACAAATCCCATAAATTTCTATGATGAATTTCTATTTTATGTTGCTTGTTATACACGTTGTGCACTTTCTTCGTTCTTTGTAAATTCCTTGGCTTATGCTTGGTTTTTCGTCAAACGGCCATATATATCTCTGGTGGTTTAATTTGGTTGAAAATAAGTTTCTTGAGCGCATTGAGCAGTCTCTGTTCGTAGTGGCATCGAAAGTCGTCACTGTGTATAAGGACTGCTTTTGCTTTTCTTGTCGTTGATAATTCGGTTTCGATTTTTAACTTTTCAATATTATGCTTGATTGCGTTGTTCGAAATTATCGGCGTACACATAATAACGTATTAACTGGTCAGAATCGAGGCAAAAGTATTTATATTAGATATTATATGCAATTAACCCTGTTGAGCCATGAGGCCTCTAGAGATGCTAAAATAAAATTATTTTAAATCTAAACTTTCTCTATGCGTTAATCATTAATAGTCACGTTAGCTTTTTGGAAGTAGCAATGTATTGTAGGTAATTTCGCAACGTTGTTTATATTTCCAAAATAATACATTCATACATGTATTTTTATTTAATTATATAATGTTGTTTCACAATTAATTTCCTTTTGCTGAGTTCGTTTTCAATTCGTGCTTTTATTTTTACAAAATCGTATAATCGTTGTTTGAAGTTGGAAAAATTTTATTTTGTCGTTACTCGTTTTTGTGTTTCGTACAGTTTATTTGAAAATACTATATATGTTCGTTTGACAATTTTTGTGCGTACAAATGTTGTTTCCTTCCCTGCTTCCATATATTTTATGTCTTTTCTTTATATGCGACGCAAGATGACCTCCTCTTTTCCTTTTTCAATTCAAAACCCACTGAAGTCTGCTATGTATTCGATTTTTAAATAACTTTGGTTAATTAGTATATTTTTATTATGTATTATTTAGAACTTATTTATGAGATAAAACACGCAACGGACACGTACTAGTCTGCCAAACTGGCAGGCACTTCAGGGGATCGATATTCGTATTAAACTAATTTTTAATTTTCTTCTCACTATTTGCGAAGAGGAAATTTTTAAATTAAAGAATTTAAAATACATCCACCAATACCATGGCGCGCAATTCGCTACCTACATTGTATGTATGTGTACATTATTATTTATATAAATTTTTGCACACATGCACAGAACACAAATATTTGCCCATTGTAGCAAACGAATGTGGATCAAAGAGCAATGAGTGTGAGTATTGACTCAACTTGCATATTCAAATGTGGTCCACCGAAACCCACACAAAAACTTGATGCCATAGAGATATTTGTACATAAGTATATAATATTGTAATAACATATGGCTTTTAGTGAGTGTAAGCTTAAAATAAATAGGGACGGTGGATAACTTTGCCGTATTGGCAATCGCCACAATTGCTCTTTCGTTACTTGATCAGCCGATTCAGAGAGCCAAAGAGCAGCGGCATATGCCTAGTTGTAGCAGAGAACGTAGAAGAACTTCTTTCTTTCTTTTTCTAAGTTTTCTGGTCGTAGTGCATATAATTGACAAGGAACCGGTGGGCGAGGGGTTATTGAAAGCAAATGTTGTGGACTCGTTTTAGACCATTGTAAACCGAAGAACCGAACGGCAAGAGCATCCCTCAAGGAAATATGTGTATAACACATCTCACAACATAGGCGAGAGCAGAAGTCAGGAAAAATATTATTACTCTATTTTTAGTTCTGTACCCACTATTAGTGTGTGCTTTATTTTGCACTTTTACTGTGTTTACTTTTTAAATTGTATATATTATAATATAACAAATTCAACATCAATTTCTTCGTGTTTTGTATATTTGTGCATTGTCATAATAGTAAATTTCCTTGCCATTCGTTATTGCTATTCATAAATCCTGTTTGGTTATATTTTGCGGTATATTTTCTTTATAGGTTTTCAATGAGCACGTTTACTCAAGTGAACATTTTTACCCTAATAAATATTCGTACCACAAATCAAACAAAATAACTTAAATTTTGAATATATGTACATACATACGTATGTAAATATGTATATATGTATGTAAATAGACATAGATTGTCACATCAGTATTTTTCATCGCCTCAAACAGGTGCTTCGCTCTTTGTGTTATTTTGATGTCAAATTTTAACTATTTCTCTGATGGTGCGTATTCGAGGACGAGAGAGCGTAAAAATAACAATGTACAATTCAATTTATTGACTCTACAATTAGTGTTTTTAAATGGAATTATTCTTTACCTTTAGAGTTTAGGTATTTGCAATTTTTATAAATTACTTATTTGTACATCACATTTTCACTAATGTTTCAGGCTAAACAACACATATGTACATATATACATTTGATGCCATAGATTACATATGTATGTATGTACATATTTGTATTTTCATAAAATATTTAAGTAAATAACTTATTTGTTATAAATTCAGATTTTCCCTTCATGGCGTATTGCATTAGCCTTTGTAATTGTTCAGGTAGACTCGATCACATATTTTCCAAATAAATCCTAACAAACAAAATCATTATATTGTTACCTAAAATGTAAAACAACGTATGATCAAAAAATTCGAAATTAAGAGTTTTATTGATTAAACTATAGCATATCCAATATTATACGTTCAGTTAATTTTGCTAAGATATTTTACTTACTGACAGATATATACATAGGTAAATATGAATATTTTAAATTAGGTATATGGGGAATAAGGGATGTATTGACCTGTTTTATCTATTTTTGGAACTACCACATATTCTTTTTATCTTTAGTTATAGTCGAGTTTTTCCTTTTCGCTGTTTGGCGCCAATTGGATATTCTAAGTGTAGCTAGGTTCTTCTCCACCTGGTCTTTCCAAYGGAAAGAGGTCTTCCTCTGTTTACCCCGGCGGGTACTGCGTCGTATACTTTCAGAGCTTAAGTGTTTTCATCTGTCTCTTAATTCCCTGAACTACTGTGGGGACTACCCCACATTATTAACAGAAAAATATCATTAAAGTACCTCACATACCATTAGCAATATATGTATATAGACTTTATATCGCATATATTGCAGAAAACTGGGACAAATTTTCGCTTGATTTTTACTTTCTTTTACAAAGATAACTCACATATTTCTTTCTATCACGTTAAAAAACAGTTATCTCATATTTTCAATTATTTAACTAACATAATACTTACAGTTGAGATGGCATACATTAAAGCCACTAAATTATGCAAATTTTTACCGAAATATTCATTCCAGCTTGATTTTTCAAAATGAAATTTATTATTGTACTATATGGAGGTAGGTCGGTTGTGGTCAGATTTTACACCCTAACATAGAAATGTGAGGATACACCTGTACCGAGTTTGTTTGAAATTTGTGGACTAGATGCTGAAATATGTGATTTTTACTAAAAGTAGTTTTTAACGAGTGGGCGGGGTCATAATTTTTTATCTTAACTTGATTTATCACATCTTTTTTTTCATTAAAGGAGTTTTGTAGGGAGGGGCAGTGACCCGTTTACGTCCATCTAAAATGCCATTTTCACTGTTTGACCAAGAAATACATACATGCATGTAAAAGTCAATTTACGCTTTGCACACAGAGATGAATGGATGGCCTCGTAATATTGATAATGGACATATGTACGTATCTATAACTCTATATCTATCTTCATTGCTTTTAGGTGTTATACACGTTCGATTGGAAGAGGATAAAAAAAGTTCGTCAAGAAATTACATACATAAATACATATACAATGTCGACTGGCTCAACCAATTGCTGTTAAATATAACGTGATAGCAGATAATGTTTCTAGCGCATGAAGTACGACTTGAAGTGTTTTGAGTGCAGTGCAAATAAATGACTGTCGGAACAACTTCAGCAACTCTAGCACCTACCCAAAACATAATTGTAAAACATGATGGTACAATAGAATTGCACAATCGAAAAGTTAACTCGCAAGAAAGTTAAAAATTCAGCTTAGTTGACGTACCGTTAACTTTTGGTTAACTTTTTTGAACATATCTATTTTTTTTAAACCCAACCGTTTGTTTGGCAAGAAAAATAATTGCTATGTACTCCCCGAACGTCTATGTAAAAAATTATTGTCGGTGTCGCGAGGTATGTACAATATAAATTGATTCTCATGAGCGTGTATTAAAAAATGTCAACAAAGCAGAAAAAATCATTGAAAATCAGATTAAATTTACGAAAAGACGGCAGCTGGACGAAAAATACCTAATTATAGAATCACATTTATGTTGTGTGCGAGCGCAGATAGTTCGCATAAGTTGAAATCATTGATAATTGGTGAATCCGCATCCCCCGTTGCTTGAAAGGGTTTAAAAACCCATTGGAATATGCTAAATCAGAATAATAAAATACAAAATAAAATACAGAAGACGATTTCGAAGTGTCTGACAAGAAGTTGAAAAATCAGTTACCAAGGAGAATATGATATAAGAATCAGTTATCAAGGAGAATATGCAACAACAGAAAGGGAGTTTTTCAGAAGCAGTTGAATGCGTCAATACCTCGTTAAAGTGGTATAGAAACAATAATGATGTAAATCGGATATCTTCTTCTTATTTACTGGCGTTGACACAATAGCCCGCTAGTTATTTCTTCTTTTCGCTACGTGGCGCCAATTGAATATTCCAAGCGAAGCCAGGTCCTTCTCCACTTGGTCCTTCCAACGGAGTGGAGGTTTTCCTCTTCCTCTGCTTCTCCCTATTCCCTCACATCCTATTAATATGCTCACGAAAATTGTCTACTGTATACACATATTAAAAATAATAGTAAAA